TATCTCCTGCCCGGTCATCATCTCTCCTGAGACCCACAGCTACATTTCTGCATCCCCCAGGCCCTCACACACCCTGCGTCCCACTTAATTCAGAATCTTTTCCCTAAGCCAGCCCTCCCCCTGGGTTCTCACCTGGCCCTCCCCCCCCACCCCCGCCCCTCCCTGCTGTCAGTCTGAATCCTACCCCTCCTGCCCTCTGCCCCTCTCTACCCCACCCCCTCCGCTTGGTCCCCCTGTCCAGGCCCCGTCCTCTCTCCCTGCCACCTCGCCCTCCCCCTCCAGCCTCCTTCAGTCCCCCTGAGGGTCTTTCCGCACCCAGAGCTGCCCCAGCCCTCCCTGCCCCCAGCGCCCTCTGGAGCATCCAGGCTCCCCAGCGAGCGCGCCCACTCCTTCCCACCCCAGCGCTACCTTGCGAACATCCAGCCCATCCAGCCGTTCTTACCCTGCTGGTTCCGACTCCCACCTCCCAGTCCTCTACCTGGAATGCTCTCGCTCACTCTCCACCCCCTCCGACCAGGCTAACCGCAGCTTGTCCTTCAGGTCTTATTAAGAACCATAATTACTACTCATGTTGAGCCAGGAACCATGCTGAATGCTCCCCATGGATTGTCGGGCTGAATGCGCTATGAGCCAAGTGTCATTAGCTTCACTTTACAGACCAGGGGACTATGGCTCAGAGAGGCCAAGGGGCCCACAGGAAGTTGCACAGCCAGAAGGGGAAGCTGGACTTGGGCCCAAGCTGGTCAGACTGCTCACTCCTTCCGATAGCCCCCATGCTGGGCTTAGGGCCTCTGCTCGGCTCCCAGTCCCTGGAGCTTACCCCAGCACAGTTCTCGCCATGCTGGTAATACAATAATAATGGTAATAATATATATTGAGTATTTTTTATATATCAGGTATGGTTCCAGGGATGCTGCATAAATTAACTTTTCAGAACTCCCTGGGGTAGTTTTTGTAGCTTAAAGATGGTTGCAAATTCGGCCCTCCTCCTGTTAAGAAGTGGGGTCTATGTCTCCCCCGCCCGCACCCCAGGATCCGACTAGAACAAGTGGGTGCAGTGACAGTGACTCCATTGGATGTGCCCGTGTCTGCACCCAGCTGGCGCACCCCACTGCCTGTGTGTTAGAGCACTCCCTCGTGGAACCCAGCCGCCATGCTGCGAGGGACCTCAAGCAGCCCCACGGAGCGGAATCATGGCCCCCGGTCCCAGCCAGCTTGCCAGCCACATGAGCCCACTTGGAAGTCAATCCTCTGGCCTCATTTGAGCCACCCCAGCTGATGCTGCGTGGAGGAGAGACAAGTGGGCCCTGCCGAGCCCTGTCCAAATTTCAGACTTGTGAGCAAAATGAACGATTGTTTTAAATCACCAAGTTTTGGGGTGGTTTGTTATGGCAGAACAGACAACCAGAATAAAGGCATTATTACTAATTCCATCTGAATGAAACCACGGCTCAGGGAGTAGTAACCTGCCTGAGATCCTCCCAGAGCCAGGAACTGGTCAAGCTGGGGTTTGAACCCACGCCCTGTCCACTACGCTGTCCTGTTTCTATTCGATCTGCCAGAGGAGGAAACTGAAAGCTCAGAGACAGGAAGTAACTCGCCCACGATCTCGGAGCGGCTGACGGTGAGAGTGAGGGTTGGAAATGAATAAACCTGACCTCGGCCCGGGCCCTTCATCTCTGCGCTAGGTTTTGATTGCTCGTCTGTCTCTCCGACCAGAACCAGAGTTTCCGGCCTTGTTCCCTCTGTGTCCCAAGTGTCCGCAGGGGCCTGGCACCTGGGAGGCCTCTGCGAATGCTCCGCGGATAAAAGCCTCTTCTCACCCGCCTCCTCGATATCTGTCTTTCAACACTCACCTTGGATGTCATCTTGCTGGGAGGTCTCTGACCCCGCAGGCAAGGCCAGGTGTCCCAGCTGGGTTCCCGAGGGCCAGTGCGTCTCCACATCTAGCGCACGTCACCCTGCACTGCGGCTGCCTGCGCCCGCGTCCGTGCTCCCCTTCAATGCAGAGGCTTCTCAAGGGCAGGGCCTGGATGTGGCTCGGCTGGGTCCCTGGCATCACCCAGCACAGGGTCTGGCACACGTAACACTTAACTAAATGTTTGCTGAGTGAATCAAAGAATGGGTCTCCAGGGAATGAGTTAACAGAGACGGATATCGAGAGTCGGTTTTATTGCTGAGTTTCAGGGAGGGCTCAGATCCGCCCAATCTCCCTCAGCTTGGCCACCAGGTCCTCGGTGGTCTCCACCTTGGTGCCGGCCGTGCGCTGGGGCGGGTCCTCCACGCTGAGCACGGAGAGCTTGGAGGTCAGGTCCACGCCCAGGTCCCCAGCCTTGATCACTTCGATCTTCTTCTTTTTGGCTTTCTGCACATGGGAAGCCACGGATCACTGGGCTGCAGAAGCCGCTGTCCACCCTCCCGCAGCCTCCTTCCCATGGTCCCTTTGCTGCAGAGCCACTCCCATTGGCTGAGCCCTTCCGGACCTATCTGCCGGCCAGGACACGCGCGACCTCTCATAGGCCACACCTGGTGTGGACAATTCCTGTGGCTAGGATGCCCTGGGAGACCCGACTATTGCAGCAGTCCTCCTTTATTTAACCACCTTAGGAAGCCCTTTATTGGCTGCAGTGGACTGGCAAACCCATCCTTTTGGCAGTAATGACCCAATGGACCCTCCCTATTGGTTGAGATGACCCATTGAACCTCCCCCTTTTGGCTGAGATAACCCACTGGACCCTCCCTAATGGCTGAGAAGACAAGAGGACCCAGTGAACCCATCCTACTGGCCATGATGATCAGTGAACTCTCCCTGTTAGCCAAGAGACCCCATGAACCCTTCCTTCCTAGTTAGCCAAGATGGTCTACACAACAACTTTCTGTTATTGTGTAGATTAACCAGGAACCCTCCTTAATGATTCAAGATAACCAAATAAATCCTCTTTATTTGGCCAAGGTTACCCAATAAACTTTTCCCATTGGCTGGAATGACAAGGGGAACCCTTTCTGTTGCCCAGGGGAGCCTTTCCATTGGCTGAGACAACCAGCAAGCCCTCCCTGTTAGCTAAACAGCCCCCGTGAACGCTCGCCGTTGGCAGAGATGACCCAGGAACCTCCCTGCCGGCCACAACGACCAGGCGAACCCTCCCTCCTCCTATCCGACCAGCAGGGACGAGGCGTAGAGTCTGCAACGCGCTCACCCAGCCCAGGCCCTCAGTGACCCGCCTGCAGGGGCTCACCATGATGTTGGGCAGCGTGGCGTAGCGGGGCTCGTTGAGCCTCAGATCGGCGGTCACCACGGCAGGCAGCTTCAGGCGCACGGTCTCCAGGCCCCCGTCCACCTCCCGCTCCACTTTCACCTTGTCCCCCTCCAGCGTCACCTGGGAGGCGAATGTTCCCTGGGGGGGGACAGCGTAGAGGAGGGTGGTGAGGTTAATTCGGGTCGGGCCAGGGCAGTGCTCTGTGTTACCGCTGAGTAGACGCAGATGAGCGAGGGAATGAGACGGCACACGGTGGAGCGGCCCGCAAGATCCCAAACCGGCAGCCACAGAAAGAGAACTCGCGGCTCTGGGGGAGGGTGTCGTTACCTTCCCCGGGAGCCAAGCACTATGTCCTGATGGCCTGACTCTGCCAGGCAGGCCTCCCTACCTTAACAACAGCGCGTACCGACTGAGTGCTGGGCCCTGTTCTAAGCAATTTGCGCGTTTTAAATCGTCAAGTCCTCGTAAGAACTCTGCGAGGTAGAGGCTGTTATGTCTACTTTACAGATGAGGAAAATCGAGGCAGAGAAAGGCTGAGTCACATGCCCCCTGCCACCCACAGCTGGCACATCCGAAAGCTGGCAGTCTGGCTCCCCGAGAACTCCCCGTGAGGCCCCTCCACTGGGCCGACAACGGGACTTTAAACTGCCTTCTGGGACCCCACCCTCCCGCCACAGACGCTTTGCCCCAGTCAGGAAACGAATCGACGTTTCCTCCCCCAGGAACTGGCACGGTCTACACTCCTCTTTGTCTAAGCCACCTGCTGTCTCCATCACCTATTTGTTGGACAAATCTTTTCACGTCCTAGTGTGAACATCACATCACTCGCAGCCTCCTCCAAGTGCCCGTGAGCCCGGCTCTGGGCATACACCATGAACGTGCCCAGGCAACAGCCCGGGTGGGCACAGATGTGCCAGGCAAGGCAACCAGTAACCGAGGAAACACGCAGACAAATGCGATCATGTCGGTTAAGAAGGATACGAAGAAGACAAGACACAATGACGTCAGAGCAAGATGGGGCAGCTCTAGGGAGGCTGGGCAGACAGTGATAAGTGCTTAGAAGACAAAGCAGGATAATGGTCTAGAACGTGCCGTCCAAGCCGGTAGCCGCTGGCCGCATGTGGCTGCCGAGCGCTTGAAGTATGGCCAGCGCAGCTGAGGAGTGGAATTCTAAATTTTATTTCATTTGAAATATCGATATTCGAGATGCATTTTCATGACTATGGTGATGGTTTCGTGGGTCTACCTGTGTGTCAAAGCTTATCGAAGTGTACGCTTCAGATATGCCCAGTTTATTTTATATAGCTCAAGAGTAGCTCAGTAACGCTGTTGAGAAAAACAGCGATACTCGATGCAGTTATTGGAAAACTTCCAAGTCTGTTTGGAACAATCTGCGTATGTGAAACCACTGTTTCGACTGTGAACTTTAGGAATCTACCTTAAGGATTTCTGATGAAAATTTAGCATCCGAATTGTGATGTGCTGTAAAGATAAGATACACACTGGAGTTTGAAGACTTAGCATGAAAAGAAAAAGAATGTGAAATGCAAATGGTCCCCAACTTAGGATGATTCGACTTGAGACTTTTTGGCCCGCGACGGCGCCAAAGCGATGCAGGTTCAGGAGAACCGTGGCAGGTGCTCCCACAGCCCGTCTGTCTGTCACCGCGGCACGGCCTTCAGTAAACCACATGAGACACTCGGCACTTCGTCATAAAGTGGGCTTCGCGCTAGATGACTGTGTCCAACTATAGGCTAACGTAAGCATCCTGAGCTTGTTTTAGGTGGGCCAAGCTATGGTGTTCGGTAGGTTGGGTGTTGGAAATGCATTTTCAACTTGTGCGTATTTCCAAATTACCGCGGGTTTATTGGACATAACCCCATCGTTACTCACGGAGCACCAGTATCTCAGTGCTTTTTATGCTGATTACATGTTAACATGGTATTATTTTAGATATAATGGGGTTAAATAAAATATTATTGAAAGGCATTTTGTCTGTTTCTTTTTACTTTTTCACATGGCTGTGGGAAATTTAAAATTCCCTATGTGGCTTGCCTTTCTCTTGGGCTGGCGCAGACAGGGACTGGGGGACCCGGTGTGGAGGGGTGGGCACGAGTATTTCATATGGGGCGGGCAAGGAAGGCCCCTTTGAGGAGGTGGTATCTGGGCAGACACCTGAAGGAGGGGAATGAGGCCATCGGGTGACACGAAGGAACAGCGTTCCAGGAGGCTGGAACAGCAAGGCAAAGGCCACGCGTGACACCTGAGGCATGAGGCCCGGCCCGCGGCGCACGCGCCCCGCTCCAACCTCACCTGTGGCCAGTCCAGAAATCCGGCTGTCATCTGCCCTGTCTGGTTACAGTCATCGTCGATGGCCTGCGTGGGGAGAGAGGAAAGGCTGCACGAGATCGACGGAGATGCTCATGGCCCGCGTGGGCCTCTGTCTACAGCAGGCGCTGGCAAATTTTCTCCGCAGCAGGTCACGGAGTCGGCGTGTTGGGCTTTACCGGTCGTCTGTTCTCCGTCGCAGCCACTCAGTTCTGCCGTCATAGCACATGGGCAGCCCGACAATGCGTAAGGACC